AAAAAGGCCGAAGTTTATTCTGAATGTTGGGAACGCCACAGCCCCCTCTCTGCTGAGACACATGGCTCTGCCACCGGAGTCATCCTGGGTCACAGACATTTTTGGCAGAGAATTGACATGCTCATGGGGGGAAAGGCTACAAATTTCTTTGGCAGATTTCTACCAGCCGGCAGCAAAGCAAGATCTCCGCCGAGAGCCCGTCTCGGACGTGTTCCTTTCTCCCCTGAAGCCGCCCGGAGCTCATTGCCAGCGCCTCCCTGACGTTGATCTCCTTTTTGAAGCGTCACGCGCTGTTCCACTGTTGGTGCTGCCATTTTAATTTCTCCTCGGCTCTCATTTCCATTGATGGATGCAGGCATTAAGATAACGTGCACGGGGCTGCCCGGCTCCTCCGGACCCTTCCATCTGGTCAAAGCGCAGCAGGCTGGCCTCAGTTGCAGCAGTGGGGTGGTCCTGGCAGGGAAGAGGAAACCTGGCCTCGGTCCTCTCACCCCACGTGGTTCCCGTTGTCTCTCTGCAACGGCCTTGCACGTGGGCTGGTTTCTGTGGCTCACAGGGCTCTGCGGCAGCGCCAGCAGTGGCTCTGGGTGCTCCAGCTCCTGTTGCAGTGGGGAGAGCGTCCAGATGGGACCATGCCTTGCACGGGCTGTCTGCTCTTGGGCCCGGCTTTGGGGGCAGTGTCATTCAGTTGGAGCCAGCCGTGTGCCAGCCCCAGGGCCTGGCAGTACCTGGGGAGGCGGAAGGCTGAGCTCACCTCGGCCCAGGCGGCCGCAGAGATCTGGTGACTCGGCCTGCGTGTTGGGGCCTGTCCCGAGCTGATGTCTCTCAGTGCCTGCGGATGGAGAAGGAGGTGTTGGTGTCCAGAAAACGGGGAGCTGATCCGAGCTTTTGATCCCCAGTGATGTTGCGGAGCTGTTTCCTCCTCCCTCAGGAGCACCACTTGCCTCCTCTCACAGACCTGTGCTCCCCTCCAAACTCGTCTCACCTCTGTGACTCGGGCCTGTTGCCAACAGCTTAGAGCAAATGTCCTGGACGCACGTGTGCTGCACTCTAGAGAGAGTGGCTCTGCAGGAGCAAGTGTGCCCCAGTTCCTGGGGGTCCCCTGCCAAAGAAGTTCGTGGTCTCTGTCCTGTCGGCAGCACCTGGGCAGAAATCGCCCCGATCCCTGTCCTGGAGAGCAAACCCCCCCTCCTAGCAAAGTAGGTGACGATCCCATTAACTCAGTCCTATGTGAGAGTTGCTTGTCTCTATGGTTTTAAAATGGAGTCGAAGTTAGTTCAGGCATCCATGGACCCTGTTTTCTTTTTTTCCTTAAATTCATTGAGGAATATTTAAACCGAGCCGAGCCCCCTGTTTTTGTAACCCTGCCTGGTAGGGAGTAGAACACATTCCAGTGAACGCGGAGAAAACCGAGTCTTTAATCCAATAAAGATACTGTCAAAGGAGCTGGGGGTGCTGGAGTGCTTCGGACCGAGGGGGGCCGGTCAGGGCCGTGCCCCCGCCCCTCGGGCCCCGGGGGGCGGGACG